ACTCATATTGCCTGGCACGGTAACACTCCTTTTAAACTAATTAGATTTGATGAGAAACATGTTAATGTTTCTAAAATCTATATCCTGATTGGGATATAGATTTTCTTGATATCCCAATCGGGATATCTAATTATATCCTGATCGGGATATAATTTCAAACTATATCCCGTTCGGGATATAAAAAAAATTTTGCTGCAAAAAATGATATCCCAATCGGGATATATATCCCGATCGGGATATGTCTCCACACTGACTATAACCGACAATTCAAAAATGCTAGAGACCTGAGACCTGTAGTTATGATAGTCCTAGTTATAATCCCTATGCTGTAAAAATGTCAGACCTTTCGTGAGAAATCGAATATTCATTTTCTTATGAGTTCCCGACACTATCTTGAGGCTTACAAATGGTAACATGTTTTTCGTTATTAAAGCCTGTTTTAGCGTTTATAACTTCGTAAAATCATTTGCTATCTCTGTTAGAATGTGTTTTAAGTATAACGGTGTTTAACAACAGACAATTAAATTAGGAAACCCCACTCGTGACAAAGCTATTTGTCTTTTATCATTTAAAAGAATCCTTTCGTTTACTATAAAATAAATTCTATTTCTTTGAATTGTTACTGTCTGAAAAATTATTTTCCGGTTCTAAGCTGAGAGTCGAGAATCGCGGCTCTGTTCTAAGTTCGGACTCGAACCACGGTTTCTTTTGTTTCGATTCCGCATGAGGAACCGAACATCCCTAATAGGTATTATACCCAGGACTATAGTAACTATAAATCTCAGCTGTCCAGCATCTTTGAATTAGCATCTCGATTATAGTGAATATACCAAAAAGTCGAACATTAATAAATCGATCATAACTCGTAAAGAAAGTCGCATGGGAACGGTCCCTTTTCGGATTTTATTAGACCAACTAGTCCTATCGATCAGCAAAATATCAGATGAATTACTTGGAAATGTTTTATCGTGAGATATTTTGGAGTTTAAGCGATTATTATTTACCGAACGAATAGTTTGATTAGTGTTTTAAATGTACAATATATCACATTTTTTGAATTGTTAAGTATTCTTTAGTCATATCTTTGTTACAGGAGCTTATATGTTGGGCGATCGTCGTATTCGAGATATTTATCACGTTTGGGTACATTTAAATCCCGAATTGAATACGGGACCATTTACCATTGCTGAAGATGCTGTACGTATCTGTTGACGTAAACTCTCTCTCTTAAATAATTTCTATTTTTAATCGTTATTTTAGGCTCTGTTACAAAGTATTAAAGTATTTCAAATGTTAAATCCCGCTAAAAAGATACAATGGACAACAATTTGTGATAGTGTGCCAAATCGATCAGCACCACAATGTCGACAACGTTATGGATATTTACGAAGTGCTAACGCCGCTCAGCCACCACCAGAATATACAAATGATTTAGATGATAAATTATTTGGATTAGCAAAACTATATCCATGTACGTATTTTAGATTTGTTGTGCCTACTTTTTAGTGGAAAAAGATGAGATTCATTTCGATAATTAATTATTTTTCTTAAACCAATGTTACAGATAGATTCGATTTTCAGTCTCCTTTCCTCTCTTCCACTATATAGTGTAATCAATTTACGATGTTTTTTTTCTATAATTGTAGCCAATTGGGTTCGCATAAGTTCTGAAATGGATGGTATTAAAATAACCACATTACAACAACGTTACAGAAAACTCGTAAGAAGTATGACATTAGAACAATGGTTAGAAAATCAATCGGTAAGTTTAATTAGTTTAATAACCAATAACTGTCATGGGAAATTCTATTATTGTTTGATTAGTTTTTTATTCATAATCGAATTTGTGTGAAACGTTTGAACTGTTTGATATTAGCTTGTTACACTTCATTTCGAGATAAATGAATTAATCGAACAGAAGAAATGTTAAAAACATAACAAATAAGGAAATATCTCTACTCGTACACGTCGTTTCCTCAATGTTAGCTTTTTTTTCCGTTCTCTGACAGTGTTATATCTACTTTGCTCTATTCATATCAAATGTAGACGATGTACATCCAATACATGTCTTCTGCTGTGTTTGTTGAGTTTCTGATGTGTCTCTGTGTATGTAGCCAGTCATTAGAGGTGTATAGGATGATTCTACCCTAGCCTATTAGGCTAGGGTAGGTTAAGGGTACGAAACATTTTTATGGGGTAGGGTACAGGTTGATACATTTGATGTAGACTGTACTCTATAAGATAAAGAACGTTTAATATTGAGAGACATTCGCTCCTTTAGTGGTGCATGCCTTCATGAGTCATGCTGTCATCTATCAAAATCTCAGTTTGTTGTCTCGATGCTTGTTGGGAGTTCCTGTGAGTTCGGCCACATGAAAAAGAATATTCAGCACTACTGATTGAATATTAGAACGAAGACGACAATCCTTGAATCCCGAGGTACTTGACGGCATATTGTTATTGCAAAATTTTCGGCAGCAATAAAATGTGTGTTTCTTGTTTTTAAATAAAACTGTAGATAGAAAAACGAACTTCGATCGCTGAATGAATAATTCTATTTTACTCCTACTTTCTTATGGGTAGGGTGTAGGATGCAAACTGTCTGAAGTCAGGGTACAGCACAGTGGGCATTTTTCCATAGAGCAGGCGAACATCTGGTTTTATGAGTTAACAAATGATTATTTTCGCATATATTGTCTTATTATGTGTCAACTTTTAATACAAGTAAGAAAAGTCAAATTCGAAAAAAAAAATTCTTTTCCGATGAAAAATCTGTAAGAAGGACCCTTGCCCTGAATTTTTGTCAAACAATTTTTTTATTTGTAAAACTAGTAAGTGATACACATTCGATGTAGTCTTTCATGTGGAATCAGAATATATATAAATTATTCAGCGAAAGTGACATATAAGGGTAGTCCAAATTACCTCAAAAACAAAGGGTTTTTAGAAAACCTGTAACTGCAGCATAAACTTGTCTCCAAAAGTCTTTGCAAAAACTGCTTAGATTTATCACCCTCCGTTGAAGTAGTTGAGGACACGAAATATTTTTTCCTTAAATGTCTTCATTGTAATCATGTACGAAATATTTTATTCTCAAAATTCCATAATGCGGAGGCATCAAACTAGACTTGGATACTATTCTCGTGAATAGTATTCCGAATAGGAAGACATTTCTCTTTGTTTATGACTGTATATGTGATTTTATCTCGGATATTAAACGCTTTTAAGTGTTTTACCTGAGTTGCTGTATTTTGATTCTGAAGCTAATGCATTCCTATCTCATATCTATATGAATTAATTAGAAACCGTCTCTCTTTTGCCCACAGAGTCATCTGATCACCACCACTACTCTACTCTTCAACATCCCTTATCATATTCTCTTCTTTAATCATATTCCTCTGCAACTAACGATCAATCTTTTTCTTGTTCTCTCCAATTCTTCTTTCATTTTTGTATGTCTCGTTGTTAACTTTTCTACTCATCTATTTATTAAGACTCTTTTGCAAATTGATACAATGTGATCCGATTTCGATCTGTATTAGGATTTTCTTTTTCAAATAAAGTTTATACCAACCTGTAACTACCTATCTGTAACTATAAGATTTTGTGAGAATACTACAGATACAAGATATGCTAAGGAAAAGTTTGATGAAAAAATAAGTAAGATTGCACCTCTGGTAACTCTCGTGTTTTAATTATACTGTACACGTCTGTTTTCCTAGCGTGTTCCTTATATCGTCGTGCTTTCTTTGTCGAATAATTCCATAAAGAAAAGTCACAGAATAAAAAGATTTACGGTATTTGATAGTGCATTTAACGCTGTATATTTGATACTATTTAAATCACAGAAAAGCTCACTTTTGATTTTTGACCAAATGTCCACCTACGTCCACCTACCAGTCAGTCTGTCGAAATGTAATGTACAAAGCTTTTTTTAGTTTGCGAGAAAAATTTCAGCATGTTCCTGTTCTGTGTTAGACCATCTTTTTTCAGGCTTTTTCAAGAGATTTGTTTAAAGAAAAAAGGTGAACGTTAAATCCGATATTAGTCATTTGTTTTACTCTTTTAGGATACCACTCGTGAATTTTTACATTTATTTTATTCGTCAACATCTCCATGGAGTACGTCTAATAAAAGGAAGAAAACTGAACAAACTGAAGATGATATTGGACAAGTTCATCTGACAACAAAACAAATTCAAATAATTGATCAACAAAAGCAAAGATTTTTGACTATTGTCACAAACATTATGAAACAAAATCAACCAGTAAGACAAATTCGATATAAAAGCATAAGATTACTTTCTTTCTTCAATCGTCGACTGAATAAAACTATGCTGCTGATGTCAAAATTTCTAGATTATCATTGTACAATAACTTTTAGACCTAAGTAACGAGTTGACTTATGTTTTCTATAAATTTTTTGAATAAGACTGCGTACGCTATGGTTTCTCCTTCCTACTGGATTTGATGTGTAACCAAAATCGGTGAAGATTGACAGTTTTTGTTTTTGGAGAGTGCCTAATCTATTCGTAGTTTTCTGATGATAAATCGTCGATAGTCACATAAACTGAAAGAAATTGCGGTTACTAACAAGTTAAAAGCATCAAGTTTTCTATTTTCTCTACGTTTTAAGCGACGATTGATCTACCCTAGTAGCATTCCCGCTTCATTTCGCGGCAAGAATACAGCCTCATCTTGCCGCGATTTTGACAAGAAATTTGAAACTTAATGCGGGATCCGTACCCCCGATCGTACCTAATCTTGCTATTTTTCTCGTGTAACGAAAATTTGACAATCTTGACGCGAAAACTTTTTGACGGGATCGCGCTGAAATCCTGCAAAGATTGCAACGGGATCTGGACAAGATCGTACCAAGATCCCGGTATGATTAGAACAAGGTTACAGCTGAGAAAGCTTTCCTATCACATATCTGATTGTCACTACATTCTTTCGATGGTTTAGTCTCTTTTTCACCAAATTTCATCATGTTTTACTTGGTATTTTCTTTGAGAACATGAAGTAATTAGAGATTTTCTCCTAGAACACCTTCAGAGTACACAGCAATTTATTTTTTTTGTTTTGAGTTATAAGCTCAAGTTGAACTATTATTAATTTTCTCATCTAAAGTGGAATATTGTTTTTACCGGTGAGAAGCTTCATCTTCGATGTATCTTTAGCTTCTTCATCGGTGTATTTTTCAGTTCTGATTCGAAATGTTACTGCCGTTGGATCTCAGAATAGAAGTGAGAGGAACTCTCTTTGTGTTTCATCTGTGAGTTGTGCCAATAAGGTAACGTTTGCCGTATGTGAAGAAAACATTCACTCTTAAACTTCCAGTGAATGTGTATCTGTAGATACTTGACACTCGAATCAGTTCGTTGCTAGAGCCAATCTAGCGTCCTGTGATTGAGGTGCCGCTATCCTCTGTGCATCAAACAGGATGGAAATGATCGTTGCTACATTCTGAAAGACTCAAACGGCAAAGCGATCTTACACCGAGGTAACCCACAATTTGTGATACTTCAACCTTGTGCATTTCTCTCACTGTTGTGACTTTTCATTCTGAGATCTCTGCACAGTTAACATATTTAACTGAATCTACACACCGGAGAAGACTTTAGATTTGATGCATTGTCCGAGAAAGAATATTCTCTTTCGATTCTAAAACTGTCAAGAAGAAAATAGTTCAACTTTGAGACAAAAAAACTAATTTTCCTCTCCGAATGCTCTTCTCTCTCGAAAATTGTTGCGTACTTACGGATGATAATATATTTAATATAATTGAAAAACATTTTTTTTTATAAAATGATTTTACAAAAATGTTTTTCAATTATATTAAATATACTTACTTTTATAAGAAACGTAAAAAAGTCAAAGAATGTCAATATATCTCATGACAAGTCTATTTTCATTAACTACAACAAAATCCAAAAAGCACTCGTTGCATTGCGTTAAAAAGTTAAGAAATGACTATAATTACCTTATATTGTATATCTATTACATATGTTAAAAGAGAACACAGAATAAACACAGTGGACGATGATATACGCACACTGTCGGGCTGTTTTTCTTCTTCTATCGACGGATGGACGAAATAAAAAAATATTACATCGTTACAGACCGAGATAAAGGAAAATACGAAGTCAGTGTGATCCTAGTTTCGTGCAAGGATTGATTTTGTACTTTGATAGTTTAAGGAACAGAATGATATAATAATAAATAATTTTTCTCAACGGTGGGCAAAGGAAAAATCTCCTCAAGATTTTGTCTCGAATTAGACACGTTCTTGCTATAATCCTGCCACGATCCCGTCACTGTCTTGAAATACAAACGAAACGGGATCGCATAACGAACTTTATCAAGAACGCGATTCCAATTATAAGATCGCAATTTTATTTTGTCAAGATCAGCATTTTTTCGTTATACGGAAAAAAATCAGGTTCGCGATCAGATCTCAGCAAGAATGGAACGGAAATATCACTAGGATAAGCAATGCTATTTGTTTATATTTTTAGGATGTTAAATGGTATCGACCGCCACTATTCGCATTTATTAGCTTATTAGAATCAGATAAGAACAGTTGTGATATTATTGAAAGAAAATTTCGATGTACAAAAAGATTATCTACCAGAGTAGCGACAAGAAAGACAACAAAAAGATCGAAAAAAAGAAGATCAAAAAAATAAAAATATATGTTGAATTAAATGTCAGATATAGATGAATGAGTAAAAGATTGATAAGTTAACTCTTCAATCTTTGCTCTTACATAAATGGGTGTTTTATTTTTCTTTGATTATTTTTCTTTTTTTGTTTTCTTTTTGTTTTGTACGAATGTTATATTTTTATAAGAGGTGATGTTGTATATCTGAGTTGGAAAGAGAAAAATAAATAAATTTATTAAGCAAGTCTATATCGGTGATTAAGATATATTATTTGGGTCACGGTGATTTTTTATGTGAAAATATTGCTATTATATAACAGTGTGTCTATCAGCTATGGTATTTTATATTAAAAAGACAGAAATCATGGGTGGTCCATAAAGAATTGTGCCGTGAGTATTTTCAAATTTTCTTCTCCTCCTTCTTACGCTTGATTGAGCTAGTTTTTTACCAAAAGATTCCCTGTTGAATTCTCTACAAAAAAATGTATCGACTGTGTTATTGCAAAATTCGAAGGTGCAAAATGCCGTGAGAAATAAGATGCACGTAATGCCAAGAAGTAGTGAATTTTATTTTTCGATGTATTATTATGGTTGAGGAGAAAAATTAAAAATAAAATATGAATCTATAATTCCAGCCAGTACTACAGATTGTCAAATGATGTGATATGCTTTCTTGATGACGGTATTATACAGAGTGACCAAAAAATACGTTGATAAAATTAAAAACGAAAAGTTTTTATAAAAATACATTTTGCCAAATTTTCACATTTGACACTTTTTTGTAATTTAGCATTTTCTCTCCTTTTTTTCAGATACACTTTAAATTTTTTTCGTTAGCTCTATTCTACATTATTTTATAGATGAATTCAAACTGAGAAGTTATTGTACGTTTTTCCAAGGAAGAAGACAATCTGATATTGCCTGCTCGCTGAGTTTGTCGAGATAACTGGCCTCCAAAGCCATCAGAGATTACCAGGAGAGAGAAACAACAATGAACGGCTTTCTTCATTTTGTAGGGCTTTTTTGGCTTGCCAAAAAAGTGGAACAGAGAAAGTGTGTGTCTGTTTTTTGGTCCGCCGTGCGTTTTTGACATTTTTTGTACTTAGGACTAGGGCTGCTACATTACTATTACTAGTAATAAGTAATAACAAAGGTATTATTACTTATTACTTGGTAATAAGTAATAAATTTCAAAAGTAATAAAAGTAATAAGGTAATAACTGTTATTATCTTATTACTTGGTAATAAGTAATAACTACAAAAAGTAATGAAAGTAATAAGGAAATAAAAAGACGGTAGAAAATACTTTGAGTAGATGGTTTTCAGTTGGATTTCGGTGAGGGTGAGGGTGCACAAGTTTTCATAACAATAAAAATTGTCTGTGAATACTGAAACCTACAGAATATTGATAATCTATTATAATGAATAGGTCAGAGATGGTTCCAGATTCGTTGGGATTTCTAGAAGACGTCTAGAAAACTGTTTAGATTTATATTAGATTCAGCACTTTTTACATACAATTTGAGAAATTCGCAGTATTCCTCACAACTTATTACTCATTATTACTTATTACTTTTATTACTTGAAGCAATTATTACTTATTACTAAGTAATAAGTAATAAATCTGAAAATGATAAAAGTAATAAGTAATAAAATAAAAGTTTCAACTTTATTCCTTACTACTAGTACCAAGCACTTAAAGCCCGAATAGTATTAAAATGATAAATAATAAAGCAATTCGTGATGAAAAGTAATAAGTAATAAAAGTAATAATAATTATTACTTATTACCGAGTAATAGTAATAAAAAGTAATAGTAATGTAGCAGTCCTACTTAGGACATAACAAAAGTAGCGACGAAGGTAAGAAAAAGGCTTGCAATTTGTTTTTTTGAAGTATCATGGAGACTTGAGCTTAATATATTTGGATTCCTTATTCAAAACTGCATCTAGCCAAGGTGCTCCCAAGTCCCCAAATCACAAAGTGGAATTTTGACAAGACCCGGAACGTATATGAGTCAAGAACCAAGATTATTCGTTCAAAAAACCCTACTAGTTTTTTGTGTGGAGGGCTAGATCTTTGATTCACACATCATTAGATAGGCCAGGTAACCAGCTTTAAAAATACGTAGAGCTTTTTTTCAAATTTTGTTTTGTTGCTGAGAAAATTCATTTTTCTAAATCAGAGGCGAAAATGTCGGAATTCTGTCTGGAATTCTCAATTTTCTCAATCAAAACTCAACATTTGAGTAATAAAAATATCATATTCGAAATCAGGATCAAAAACTGAGTCGACTGATGTATATTTCAAAATTTTTACTTGATATTAATTTTTTGTTGAAAATCTTGATAATTTGGTATAGTTTATAGATAAACTACAATTAACTTTTTCATCAATATCATAGAAAAATAGAGCATTGTTTTTTCTATCGCTGTAAAAGAAAGTTTCCTCTACCTTTCTATACGGAAACAAAGTACCTCCTCCACTACTTTTGATATGTCCTAAGTAGCATTTTTTCAGTTTGAATTCATCTATAAAATGATGTTAGAATAAAACTAACGAAAAAAATTTAAAGTGTATCTGAAAAAACGACGAGAAAATGCTAAATTACAAAAAAGTGTCAAATGCGAAAATTTGGCGAAATGTATTTTTATAAAAACTTTTGGTTTTTAATTTTATCAACGTATTTTTTGGGCACCGAGTATAACACGTACATTTCTAGTTAGTAAATATGTTGATATTCTTTTCAAATTCTAAATACACTTTGATTAACTAGATCGCTACATCATTGTACGATATGTACAATTTCCGAGATCTAAACCATGTTTTCTAGTCATACAGATGAATCAAGATATATTACATGCCTTTTTCCCATGATCGTTTACATACTTTTGGCATAAAAAGATTTAGTTTTCGTAACCAAGATCTTTTGCATGTTTTTTTTTTTCGAAATTTTGTCAACCAGGATCAAAAGCATGTTATTTCCGTGATCATTTCTCATTTTGTCCATTTTTCAAAATGATTACTTATGGACTTTAATAAAAATAAAACAAAAAAAACCATGAATCG